ACAGGGAGAAGGGCCGCGCACGCTCCTTCACGCGTGTTACCAGAGAACCTGCGTTTCCGTGAGGGGAGGGCGGGGAGCGCCTCTCCTGGTCTCCCTGGGTGGGTCGGAGCAGGTTTCCCTTTGACCGGTGACACGCTGCTGCAGGCTATTTCATTTACTTTCTAAGAAATTAAGTACAACATACATATACATATATAAATTCCTAACCGCCGGGCTTTAGCGATGGAGGCCCTGCGCGGCGGGACAGTGCCCCCGGCCCCGCCGCCTCACAGGAGGTTGGCAGCCGGCCGCGGCGCGCAGGGAAGGGGGGGGCGAGCTGCTGGGGTGCTGGTGCCCAGCCTGGGACGGCGCCAGGAGCCAAGCCCAGCTTCCCTGTGTTGAGGGACAGTACTTTTAGCTTAAAATGACCTTTCGTGGCGTTGGCTGTGCTTCCCTTTGCTGTTCACTTCGGAAGAATACTGTTAGGGGAAGGAGCTGCAGAGTGAAGTAACGTTGTTGGAAAAAATTACTGAAATAGTATTTTTCTCAAGCAATATCCCAAAACTATTCCCTATGCCTGACAGCAGCAGGATTAAAGAAATGATCCGTTTCAAACGAAGATATATAATAGGATGTATAGCCTCCCACCCGTAGTCCACGTTATATTCAATGATTCATTGGACACTTCCAAGCTGGTGATGTGACCTTTGCTAGAACCACCTTTTACCTCAAAAATGAAAGTTTTGATAGGTGGTTCTCGTAAAAAATCATTTAACAACGGAGTTGAAAAATAAGTTTGTATCCATCTACAAAGAAACAGGCTGTGGATGAGCAGACCAGTGCAGTCTGTTCTCAGCAATTTTTCTAGCAAAAAAATCGAGTGTTGGGAACAATGTGAAATATTGAGGGCAGAATATGATGTCAGTGAAATGGCCTTAGACTTACTCAAGAACAGACATTACATCAAAGACTCGTGAGCATTGTTGGATGATGGATGAAAAACACAAATTAATACAGGGGCACCAGGCTGATTTATTTTACCTTGAGAAGACTTTGTGCTTTTTTAATGGCTTCTCATGTGATTAACTCAGCATTTATAAACAACGAGAGCCATAATAAGACTTGTAGGGCATCTAACCTGAGAGATTGACTCAAACAAAAAGGACAAGTCAAAGCACTGATACAAAGTCAATCAGAGTCTTTCTAACATTTGGCAGTGCCAGGAAACAGCAAACGAGGCAGTCTTTGCTTAAAATAATCTGTGCAATGTTGCTTAATGTAAAGAAAGAAATTTGTGTTTTAACATCTTGAAACCACGGGATGGTTAGGGGTTACTAAAGCACTTGGTATGCTTTCCTTAAGAAAGTGGGAATTTTGAATATGGGCAGATAGGTTAGGGTCACAAGCTGTAAGAGGCACTTTCCATCACTCTCTTGAGGCATTTGAAACGGGAGTACCACGGCCGGCAGAACCTGAGGAAACACATCCCTCTAGTGGCAGTTATCCGCCAGAAAGTACCCTCGACACTCCCTATGGAGTTGTCAAGTGATGTAGAAAACCAGCTGTACAGCCCTGAAAATGCATGGCAGGTTTGTGTGTGGATGTCCTCAGGTGCAACTTGTCTTATTCACCTTATGTATTTCTTAACTCGGTCTTGGTTATTAACGGTTGCATGGCACACTTCCGCTTAAGTTTTTATATAAACTTTTGGTTTGCTTTTTAAATTCCATTTCACCCTGGAAAAGAAGCCTTTGAGTTATCCTAAATGTTACCAGAAAGGTTTACCCTTTTTGTCTCCCAATCCGGTTGTCTTACTCAATATATTACAGGAAGTAGAGATCTCTCTAACAGCATCAATAACTTGAATATATTACAAAAAATGTTAGATATACAGCAGTTAGTAGAGAAATAGTTTAGTTTCTGTCCACTGAGGTTCTTCCCTCTCATGAGAAATTTTACACGATGGAGCATAGACTTTAGTCTAGGAACTGTGGGGGTATTTTCAAGAGCACACAAAAGATTTAGGCTTATAAAATCCCCTAAAAATCACTGAAATGTGAATTTATATGCACCACTCACTTTGTAATGTTTGAGCTTTTCCTTTGCTTTCTACTCCTACATCTGACAGTGTAGGTAAGTCATAGGTCTAGGCAAGCACTTGTCTTAATTCTGCCTTCTGAAAACACATCAAGGTAATAAAACCAAAGCCTTGTTTAAAGACTATCCTCCCCACAGCTACATGGCATGCAGTTCTCAATGTCACTAGATATTTAAACCTTGAAAATTATGTGACAATGGTAGGTTCCCCTCACTGAGTCTTCTGAAGTACTAACATATTACTGAGCACTGACAGTTTTCATCAGTGAAGAGTATGTAGCTCCACTTCAGATCTATTACCATCTAGAATAAGAAGGATGTATCATAGCAAAAGTACCTGTTATGCTTTTAAACCTCATTTAAAAACAAACCATTAAAAAAACAACCAAACAAAACCCCCCAGTGATGAAGAAAAAGATACTGCAGAGACACTTTTTGGATGATTTACGCAGAGAATTGTCCAGTTCAGAAGGATGCACACAGTCATCTTTTTATTTTGGTTTGGGGTTTTTTGTTTTTTTGAGTCTGTTTAATAAAGTCTTACAGACACAGACTATATAGGAGGTGAGACTGGAGAAAATGAAAGTGCAGACAAGCATAAATACACATACACAAGAAGAAAAAAGTTGAACACTCTTGACAAAACTAATAAAGGGAGAGCAGTATGTCTGACACTATCAGGGATGAAGACTATTAACAGATACCTAAAGAGAGAAACTTCAGAGATAATGCAGAGAAAATGATAGATGTTGAACTATATGCAAGTTGGGAAAAATAGTGAAAGATGAGTTTGACTACAAGTAATGAGAAAGAATTTGTCCAAAGTAGTAGACATAATTCTCATATTCCAAAGATCTGAAGGTATTTTTCTTACTTCGTTCATCTTCCACAACGTATTTGACACAAGGCATTGTGGGGAAAAAAAAAAAAAAAAAAAAAAAAAAAAAAAAAGCGCCTTACAGTTTCCTGTACCTTTCATTTAAAACTTTAAATACTAAAAATCACACAGTGAACACCATTATTTCCAACTTGTTTCACATACCAGGTCACAAAGCCCATTCTGCATTGATGTTCTGGAGAAAAGGAGTAATTGTTGGCAACTGACATAAGGCATTTTCTCTGATTAACAACTTTAACAGCTCTGTGAGCTGAGCTGCCACACAGTTTCTTTCAATTATTGGAATCAACACAAACATTGTTTATTTTTATTCATTTCCATCATTAAACAGAAGGATGTATATTACATAGCACAGTTACAATTTCTCCATATGCATTTAAGACCATGCATACTATCTTTAAATTATTTAATTATCAGGCGTGGATTTCATAGAATTGTCAACAAGATTTTTATCAGGTGTTTCATAATAGTACCAAGGTCCATCTCCCCTCTGTCTCATCAGTCTGCGTGCCTCCAACTCCATCAGCCTAAAAAAAAAACCCAGAGCAACAGAAACATTTAACATGAAGTTTATTGGTTCTGATCATACGTACATCGATGTTTTAACATCAGGGCATTATTGACAACAGCAACGAGTTTAGCATCTGTGGTTTATAAATGTTACTGAAACACAGGTAATGCCAAAATATAAGGATTCAACTAAAACGAGCTATTATATCCTTCTATTTCAATTTTTTTCAGCAAGTCATCTCAGAATAGTAATAAAAATACTTGCAGTTCTGTCACAGGTTCTTGCCTAGTAAGGAGCTAAGCAGCTTTAATACAGCTTTCAACTTAAAATGAATAGGAGAAAGAAAACCAGAAGTAAATGTGATGATAGAAGGAGCTATGCTCTCTTGGTCCCAATAGCAGCAGTTTGTGGAACTCAGAATTTCTTCTACTGCCACAGTTTACTCTGAGTAAATATAGAATAAACTCAATACAACAATATCATTGCTGCCCACAACATTTTCAACAGCAACAAGGAACTTGGTAAGTCCTGTGAACGGACGGTCATTTAGCTACTTAGTTAAGCTGTGAGCATTAGCAGAGGCAAAAAGAGTTGTCCGTTTCCTGGCTCAGGAAGACAGAGCTACGCCTTTATAAACGTGAACTGTTTTGAAGAGAACCTGTTGTTTTACAAGACTGCCCTTGGATCATTCCTGTCCTGGCAGTCTTAGTACTGAGAAAGCAGGGACTGCAGGTACCCTAACTTCCACTCTGCCACCAGACAGTGCAGCAAGCACTCAGGGTCCAGTGATACATGAATAACCATGTCAGCACCCAACTCAGTATGTTAAGCAAAACAAGAGAGACAACTACAGTATGTATCAGTATTTTAGAACCCTCAACTACATAACATACCTCATTCGGGTTTTCCTCGCTTCAATATCAAGCAAAGCCATCTGTTTCTCATAGTCCTTTTCAGGGGGGTCAAGTAAGTAACGAGTTATCCAGCGAGTTATAGGGTGCTGGCAAATGTAAAAGCAGAGGTTATTCGTGCAATTTCCAAGCAGAAGTATCAACTAAATCATTTTGCATGTTCCCAGTCCTGAAAACAGGTCACCAACACTATGGGTGTTGCTATTCAAACCATAGTAGTAAAGTTAAAAACATGCTCAACTATTTCTAAGATCAGAACCCTAAAAAGCTCTATTTCTTCTGCCATTTTTAATGGCAAGATAACCTGCACATGACTATTCTGTGGCAAAATTAAAAGTTCACAGAAGATGTGATGTATATTCTGTTGTAAGGTTCCTTAAACTGCCACTGTAATCAGAAACAGATTCCAAACCTCTTACCGTAATTGGTAACATTTTAAAGTTTTGCTTCCACATAGAGGTCATTTCAATAGGAACAAAAGTCTAAATGAGTTGAAACAGTTAATAGTATTGCTGAATTCAATTATTTCCTATCAAAACCACAAAAGTGTTTGCAGCAAGAAGCCAGGCAGTAATTTTAATAAAATGAAATGAAGAAAGCATAGGCTTCAGTTTCTGACTACAAAAATCTTCAGTTCTAGATATAAAAGCATGTGTGATGTTGGGACTTTGAAGCAACGTTAGAGAACAATACAAACCAAAGTAACGTCACTTTAAACTCCAGTGTCTTAAAATGTTGTAGTTCCAGAGCAAAAAGCAAAGACAAAAACTGCACGCTAAGAATAAAGAAAATCAGAGAATGGGCTGGGTTGGAAGGAATCCAAGATCATCCAGTCTCAAACCCCCTGCCATGGGCAGTGACACCTTCCACTAGCCCAGGTTGCCCAAAGCCCCGTCCAACTTGGCCTTGAACCCTTCCAGGGAGGGGACAGCCACAGCTTCTGGGCAACATAAGACCATTCTTACTATTTAGGAATATTATAAAAGAATTTTTGGTATATAGCTTCAGCAGTTGACTTGCATTTACAGATTGTTTCCATCTCCTTGTGTCAATAAAAAGATTTCCTACAGCAATGTGAATATCCCATAAAGCTGAAAAAAAGCAAGTTTACCAAAATCATAATTGCACAATTTGAGTTCTACTACACTGATACCCAATGGCTGGGATATGGGCATCCTTATTATCATACTCCACACATTTTGCTCCCAAAAATATTAAGAGGAAAGCTGCCCCTAACATACCACCCTTTTACATGCTACACTCACTTTGTAGTATTCCCAGTAGTCTGGTGTATAACCTTCGGGAATCTCTGCAAGTTCAGCTTCACCTGACAAAGAAAGGAGGGGAGGAACATTTAATTCAAGTTTGGGGTTTGTTGATTTTTTTTTTTAAGTACCTTTTATTCTGCCTTTCACATTAGGAAAATATCATTATTTCACATGGAGAGTACTTAATCCCTCAAGCTGAGCTCTATTCAGAAAAATCAGACTTGCAGTTTTTCCAGACACTTCACGCTGCATATATATAGCTCACAGACTTTAAGACACACTACAAAAGGGCAAAATTAGCAGCTATGCAGAAGAAATAACTAAGATGAGGTCCACAGAAATGCCCTTTAAAGTATATAAGCTGAAAGCATGGATTTTTCCTAATTTATCTTTTAAATTAATTCCATATTATAACAGTAGTAGATATATATATTGTCAAGCAGAGTTTTGGCTTTTTTGCTAGATAAAAAATGACAGTGACAGTGTATGTAGCCTTCTTAAAGAAGTATGTAAACCAAGGTAATACAGACCTCTCATGTGAATATAGAACTGTTCACTAAGCCTCACTGATGTTTGAAAGACTGTCAAAAGATGGAATTTTTCTATTTTTAAAAACGTGGAAAGCTTAAAAAAAAAGCAACAACTACAGATAAATAAAAATACTAGAAACATCTTCTATGTATTTGTACAATATTACTGTAACTGTTAGGCCTATTCCATTGCTTTCCAAAGAGCAAGCCTTAAAAGATCTCTTTTCTGTCCAGCATGCTTAGTTTCCATTTAATAATTTTTAGTTTCCATTTAATAATTTTATTAATTTCCATTAATAATTTTGACTTATGTACTGAGCTTAGTCGTGACAGAGCACTCACCAATGAAGATGTTGACATATGTTATGAATAGAGCCGCTGGTACTGCCGTCAGAAATACATAGAATCTCTGTATAGGGGATAAAAAGAAAAAGAAACAGTATGGGAAACTCAAAAGCTGACAAAATTGAGATGAGGTCAGTCTTGAAGTGATGTAACAGCCAGTAATTCTTAGATTTGCATTCACAGCCTAGATAGGGATGTTGTATGTAAAGACATATTGCTGCTTAAAATGAGTTAATTAACAAACTAAAATACAGAAACAGCAATGCTGTGTCAGTCCATGAGCCTGTTTAGTTCAGGTTTCAGTCTCCCAGGGAGGTCAGTCTGTGCAGAAGCAAAGAGTAGTGCTGTCCCTGAAGGATGTCTCAGCACCTTGATGACCGGTGACTGGATTCCGTATTTAACTGTAACGAGGCATTAATGCCAATGGAATATAATCCAACATGAATACAACCACTGCTGTCTTGGGGAACTGGCGAAGACATATAAAGGGAGTTGTATCAAGTCGGCTGTTACCTGTCATAATAAGCTTTATCCGAAAACTAGCTTTTTAGGGGTCGAACTCAGGTCAGGCTTCCTAAATCTAATCTCTGGTGTTAGTGGTTTAGGAAACTGAAGGCAAACCCTGCAGAAAAGTAACCTAATACATTTTTAAAAAGAAGGATGCAGAAAGCATTTGTAGGTTACGCATATAATAACACAACACATAATTTAAGAATGCTACTACAGCATCCATTTAATACCTACCACCATCTTTGCCATTTAGCCAATCTTTTTATGTCGTCTGGCCCCGATTTTGCAACACAGACACAAAAAATTTATTTAGAAGGAGGACAGGAAATTCTCATTTATGTGAATAGTGCCACCTGTATCTTAGATGTCATATAAACAATATAGAAAATTGTAATTTAGACATGCTTACACCATTTGCAAGGGATGTGTTATGCTGAATGTAATTAATTTGCTTTTAACTCACCAACAATCTCAGAAATCGACTATCATAAAAACTTGTTGCCTTGATAATAAACATTCTCTTCCCATGGCCGCTGCTGTATCGTACAGGAGCTGAAAATTGAACCAAAGTATTATAGCTTTTTCTCCCTTTAGTAATTGTGCCAGGATAAGGTCAACAATACTTGTGGGAAAAAAAAAAAAAAGTGTACAGTAGTAGCTGAGTAGTTACAAGTTGGTTTTCTGGAGGATATCAATGTTCCTAAAAGCCTACCTGAACTAATTTCCTATTTTGCTAGAATGAACCTACTTTTCTTCTAAGTTTAGACACAGATCTACTTCTACCTGTAAGTCATAACAACAACAAAAATCAATGAATGCCATTATACAGGGCGAAATAAATTCACAGATCAGTATGTTGGGAAGTTTGGCCTCCTGCCAATTTTGACCCATATTCTACCCAAGAAATGTAATTTCTCAGAGGAATGGAGATACACGTTCCACCCTCCGAGGGGTTTTCCTGCACCTTGAACCCATTGCCTACACCTGCCCAGCCAAGGAAAACCACCGCCGCCCGGCTCCCTGTTCCTGCCCCAGCGCCACGGCAGCGGGGAAGGGCCCCATTCCAGCACCCGCCCTCACCCGGGGAGCCGAGACGGAGGCCCCCGGTGCCGCCGAGACGCGGCCTCCGCCTGGCACCGCCCGAGGCGGGCGAACCTCCCT